GTAGACATTTCTTGCTGTTGTCGTTGGGCTGCCTTGCGAACGGTGAAATCAGTTTTGTTAGAGTACTCATTGTTGTCGGAAGCCCAAGTAAACTGCGGTAAGTCCACTTACCTCCTTCCAGAAGGTTTGGAGCTGCAGGTGGAGTGGGGGATGCTGAGAGTAGTGTCGGAGGAGGGGGAGTGCTTTTTAGGGGTGATGGTGAGCACCCATCTGATGGGATCAGTACAAGGTCACATATTACAGCAAAAGATTACTGTGTGACGAACCAATTTCTGTTCCGCACGATTTTCTGCGCGATGACAATGAGGGGTCCTAAGATGGGAAGGTTGGACCAATTACGGGAGATCGTGTTTGAGGGGAAATTGCATCAGTGTCCTCGCTTTTTCGTGTTTTCTCTTTCGTCGCTTCTTTTCGGATGGCTGGGTTCAGGGTCGGGCAAGTCCCAAGATGGTCGATTGGGTGGCTGTCGCGCCGACAAGGCGCGATTAATAATGGTTGACGTCACTTCTTTCCTGTTCCGTTGTCAGATTTTAGGCGCGGAGATCGCGCGGGAATTTTTGCTTCGTTCTTTTCGAACTTTCCTTTCTTTTCTTTTTGAATTTTGTCGAGCCTTGACGATTCTCGGAACTTCGGATTTTTTTTTCCAGAATTAGTGTTTCTTTTCGCATTAGCTAGGAATTTAAGAATTTAGAAATTTGAGGTTTTTTTTGCCGCGCGCTGTCCTTCTTGTGCGCTTCTTTTTGCGGCTGCAACGGAGTTCTGATTAGTCGGCACCCTTAATCTTGCAAGTAACTGTAATTTTTGGGCAGGCGTCATTGTAACTGTATCTTTCTTCTTGAATTTCGTTTTTCCCGCTCCTTCTTTCCCTTTTGCTGTACCTAATTAGCACCATGGGCTGCATGCTCGGATAGATGCGTGGAGATTGGCTTCGTCCCCCATGCCTCGATCTGGCCATGCAAACCGTAGGTGCTTTCTCTCCTAATCTCCTTTCTAAGTCCTTGCAATTCCGTGTTCTTCGTGCATGCATGCACACTATAAATTTTGGCTGCGCGATTAGATAGCTCTCTTAACCAGCTGTTGGAAGCTCAGGGTAGCGCGATCAGTGAGGGTCGGCTCACGAGCGACGTAAGAGGTGAATTGAAGTGGGAGTCGGGCGACCCGAGGAGCTGGTGCCGAATGCGCGGGGTTGACGCGTGGGGATACGACGGACTGTAGCGCGCGGGGGAACCTGACGGGTGCAGGAGGACTAAGCGGGGTGACGACTTCGTGGGTTGGTGCGTGACAACGGACGGTCCGCATCGGAGAGAGGGAAAGAGGAAGAGGGAGCTGAGGTTGATGGATGCGGAATTGCAATTTTATTTGTCTTATCTCCCTCGTTGCTTTTGTATATAAATTTTGATCTCGGCTCAGGGCAACTTGCCCGTCTCCTTTTTGTTTTCGGAACCTCTGCCTCGGTCTCAGCCCTTATTTGCGATTGATCTTGATCCCAGCTATCGTATGTCCTGTCGAATAACTGGACGAATGAATGTTATGTCGGTTGTTTTCTTTTGTCTGGCCATTGCCCTTGCCTGGCGTTACGATACACCCATAAGCATTGTAGGAATTTTTGTATTGCTTCCGTTATTGCTTATCACTTTGATCCGCTGTTGTTCTGATACTGTTGTGATGTCTCGTGTGTGATAACTTGCATATTCGGGAATGATTGCTTGCGGGATCACGGAGTGATTAGATGATTGGGTAGTTGTTTTCAGCGCTAGGCTCCCATTCTCCCATCAACAGGCAAATACCTCGCGGGGATACGTGTAAGCGTGATTCGATCTGCGCAGCCTACACGTGTCCATGCACGCCGATTCGCGACCATTGACGAACTTTCCATCTCCCGTGTCGAGTAGGCAGGAATTTTCCTTCCCCCACGCACCTAAACGGATAGGAATTTCCGATATCCCATCGGGAAGATCCCCTTGTTGGTTAGACGCGTGCGAAAGAATTCCATCACACCGCAATGATAAGATGCCGAGCTCCTGGGACTCAGAGTACTTCGACCCTTGGGTGAGAGAATGTATTAGGCAAAGATACCTGGAATTCCCCTGCCTAACCGAGAATCGATTGTGCCCCAGAGAGTTTTACTGTGCCACAACCATCGATCCGAGGTGCCCCGATTTGCCCACTACGGACAACACGCAATACTTCATATCCCCCGGATTCATCGTTATCACAATCAATTTCCCTCCCTTCCGGCTCCTCCTCCCATATCACGAGCTCACGGTGGTTCCGTGGAATTCCATCGCCCCGTACTGGCCCCGCACGCCTTGCGGAAATTGTCGGCGATGCGGCAACCGACGAGCCCGTGAAACTAGAGGGCCTAACCAGAACGCTCAACGACAGACGCCGCGTGGCTGCCCCCAAAGGTCTGACTCATCGGAACCACAACCATCCCGGGCGGGCCTCTCCCCGAACCGTCGCCACCAAAATAGACAGATCGGACGACCTTGAATGCACCGCGCACGCCATCTGCCTTAAGCTGCACGAGCCCGACAACCATCAGACCGGAAGCAACTCGCCCCCCTTGACCATATTGCATCTATGCCCCTGAAACTTTGCCACAGGAGATCTCAGTTCCAACATGGGACTCCACCCCCACTTTCCCAAAAATCCTTGGCACACCCCTTTTCGCACTTCCAGGCCCACATCCTACTCCGAGCAGGAAGTCGCACCGAGCGGGAGGTTGGTATCGGAGCCCGACACGTGGCGAGGTTCTAGGATTCATAGCTGGGCGATCTGGCTAACAGGGGACGACTTCGACCGCGGAACGCGCATCGACGCGACCCCGTCGTCACTAGAAGCCGATCCACGGCCCGACGGACGGTCAACATGAATGCTAATCAGCAGAATCCCCAACAGAACCCGAATCCCCAGCAAAATCCTAATCAACCCGTACCACGAGCACGGGCTCCTATGACGCCACCCGACCTTTATCTCGCTGGAACATGGCTAGCCACGCTCCGGGCTCAGCAGTATGACGATAACGAGGCACAGGTGAACATCCCTGCACGATTGGGAGGAGATGCCCATCACTGGTTTAGCACCTATGTATGGGTCGATCTCCCGACATTCGAGCGAGATTTCTTGAACCGATTCGATTACATCCACCCAGAACAAGCTCTTTTCATGATCAAAGATCGAGTTCAAAAACCCCTCTAATCTGTCACCGAGTATCGAAACTGATTCTTTAGGATGTTTGTAAAAACGGAACGAGGCGAACAAGTAGGCAGAGAGTTGTTCATCGATGGACTTCGCAGCCGAACGATGAGGGCGAAACTGCGAAAACAGTTCTCTCCCATCAATCACACGCTGCAACAGATCATGGCAGCCGCAGAAGAAATAAAACGAAAGTTTGCAGCGAGTTTCCTAAAAGGAAAAGACTATCCTAGGGAAGGAAACCCGTCCGAACTAGCGAGAGCTAAAGTTGACTTGGCTGCGCTGCCGAACAAATTTGAAAACATGGGGTTTGTGTCGGGCCCTGTCACCTATCTAGAACAAATTAGTTCTAAACGACCGTTCCCGAGTGTCATTACGAGCGTGCCCAAGCCCGTGATGACAACACCCCCGCCACCGGTCGAAACCCTTGCACGACCAAACGAATCGGCCGCCTTATTAGAACTAACCAAGACATTGGTTACTCCGATTCAGGAAAACAAAAAGGAACAGCGGAAACACAACGCTCAAATAGAGGGGATGATGAGGTCGATGCGTCTAATAACGGTGCGTGCCACCCTGATTCAACACGGATTGGCTCTGGCATCCCCTCCTGCAGGGATCCCGGGCAATCTGAACGTCTGTTACACGTGTCACCAACCAGGGCATATAGCCCGAGATTGCCCTCATCGACCCCCACAGCAACGAGTCGGAGCCGCACCAGTGGCAGCGGCCCCGATCGCCAACAGACCCGGACGAGTAGGGGCATTGATGGAAGAAATGGAAGGAGGTGGAAGCACATTAGCCACGATGGAGGAAGCTGCTGAACTAATTTCGTTGGATCAATATGTAACACTTTGCTACCCAGGGTTTGGGATGATTGGAATGATGAGACCCTCGCTAGAATAGAGAGAAGTGGCGAAGTGGCGACCTTCTCCTGGAGAAATGGAGTCGAGAGGACCTACCTTCGTCACAGGGGAAATCGATGTTGTAAACATCATTCGAGCCTTGGACCATCGAATTTCCCTTCCGATTGGTCATCTGCTTTCGATATCGGAACAAGCCAACGAACGAATGCTACAACACTGCAAAGTGAATCAAAGGTTATTTGCCCTTGCCCGAACACTAAACACAAAAGCGAAAAATCCCATGCCCGATGAAAATGCAGCAGGAACTTCAGACCCGATACGATTAGGATAAATCCAGAAAGATGATCACTTCCTATGGATTAAACCGATCCTATGGAAATCCGCCGAATGTGATATCGAGATATAGGGAATCCCGTACAATGCCATTATCGATTCAGGAGCCGTTGTTCTGGCTATCTCGTTACGGGTAGTTGGAAAACCAGGAAGGAAGAACGATATGATCATGCTTACGGAAAAAGACGAACTCGTTTCAGCAGATGAGGAGAAGACTAAAACGGTGGGATAGATGACCAATGTTGCTTTTCGATTAGGAAAGGTACATGCGTTGGGAGATGTCGTGGTCTTAGACGTAAACACTTACGACATTTTTTTCGGCCTTCCCGCTCTTGTGGCCCTAAGAGCCAATCTGAATTTCGAGAGACGATCGATTGTCCTCCGAAATACGGGAGCAAAACCGTATGTTGTACCGATGAGATTGACCCTTCATACCACCACTAACGTGACTCCGCGAGTTTCTCCCATAATGTCGGGAACCCTCCGTGTGATCACCTAGGATAATTCAACAGACGACGGGCAACCGTCAAAGGATACAGACAGCAGTGATGAGGATGCTCCGGTGATCCTGGAGATGGCACAACAACGTATCTATTACCCTATGCAACGAGCAAACACAAGATCGCTAAGCCTGACTGATCAGAGTCTACAGAGAACGCAAGCTATGCGTATGGGAGAACCCCTCGTACATATTTTGAGGATGGTCGATTTTTTTAAACCTCCTCGAACCCTGTACGAAGGTATCTCCCCTCTACTCGCACGATACAATGACAAAAGATACTATTGTGATGTCACAAATCTCCCACGATCTCTCTTGACGACTGCAAAAGAGATACGATTGATACACTTAGGGGCGGAGACCAATTCTTTGGAACCCCCTGAGCGCCTCGAAACCGGACTCGGAATTAAAATTGCGATGAAACCAGTGCCTTGGCAGGACATTCGAGACGGAATAACACCAGAAGAACACGTGGCCATTCGAGAACAGGATGCACAAATGATGGTCACGGTATTCTCCTGGCGGTCGGACAATTCGTTTATTTTCGCGCCCCCGTCAGAAAACACTAAGCGGGTGAGTACGAAACACATCGATATGGGATGAGCTCTACGAGTTGCACGTGCCCCAATACGTGCCCGACGAGATCCATCATCTAATCGCGGACATTTTGAAGGAACACAAAGGAGCGATTAGTGTCACGGACACTGATATCCGACTGTCGTTAGTCATACAGCGTGAGATCCAGACGGGAAACCATCCCCCGATCCATTGTAAGCCTCAAAGATATTCTCTAGTAGAACGGAAAACGACCTTTGAACGGATTCGAGAATTTGAAGCTAATGGATGGATCGAACCCACCACTGAACCATGGTTGTTCCCAATAGTATTGGTGCCCAAAAAAAACGGGTCTATTCGCATATGCATTGATTATCGCAAGCTGAATGATATCACGATCAAAGATATGTACCCCCTTCCTAGGATTGATGATTTGCTGGAGGCGATTGGCTGTACTAATTATTTTAGTAAATTTGATATTCGTCACGATTTCCATCACATTCTAATTAAGGAGGAAGATCGACCGAAAACGACCTTCGTACTGTTTGAAGGCACATGGCAATGGGTTCGATGTCTGATGGGTATTTGCAACGCGCCTGCCACGTTTTAGAGGGCGATGAACGTGACGTTTCATAACTTCGTCAACAAGACGTCGCTCACTCACGGGATGATTAACTTTTGCGTCATCGTGTACATGGACGACATCCTCGTCTACTCGGAGACCTATCATGGGCATGCACAACACATCGAGTGGACGCTAGGAGCGCTGAGAGACGCAGGGTTCAAGACCGCACTCGAAAAGAGCGAGTTTTTCCTCTCGAAAATTTTGTTCTTGGGATACGTGGTGACACGTGGAGGACTGTGACCAAATTCAAGGAAAGTTGCGGCGGTGAAAGATGTTCCTGTCCCCACGTTAGTGACGCAGGTTCGAGCTTTCCTGGGACTGGCATCGTACTACCGTCGTTTTATCAAAGGCTTCGCTGCGATTGCGCGACCTCTGACGAATCTGTTACGAAAGGACCAACACCTCAGTTGGGATGCAGAGTGCGAACAGGCCTTCGCCACACTCAAAGGCGCTCTGGCGACAACACCTATTTTGATCCGGCCAGACCCCACGAAGCAGTTCATTCTCATAACGGACTGGCAGCTAGAGGCGATTTCCGCTATTCTAGCGTTGAAGGGGAACGACGGTCGATAACATGTTATCGAATACGCGTCTTGCACGATGCCAGACGAACGAAGGAACAACTAAGCTCCGCAAGGTGAATGCTATGCTGTAGTCTGGGGAATTCAACATTTCCATCTGTACTTGTACGGACAAAAGTTCCTCCTTGTAACCGATCACGAGCCATTGTTGGCTCTCAAGAAGCTCACCAATTACACGGGTATGATCGGACGGCGGACTGTGCGCCTACAGGAATACGATTTCAACATCATCCACTGAAAGACAGAGAGGCACGGCAACGCGGACGGATTGACACGTCTGCATCGCCCCGCTAAGGTACCAAGGGGTGAAGAAATCATTCCGTGGAAGGGGCCGGAGTCAGCGAACGAACCCAAGTACGGACAAGTGGCAGTCCTTCCACGTGGCAAGAAGCAGGCGATTGGCAATGGGTGACGGAGGTAATCCTACAACTCCTCTCTCTCCCCTCTCATCTTCATTTTTTCTCTCCCTGCCCGACAAATTTTGTTATTTTTGTGAAGCGATCTCGCGCGTTTACTCGATCTCGATGCGTGCTAGCGGGGAAGGGTATGCAGAATGGGTAGATTGTCGACAGTGTATCGCACGAGCCCATGGCCCGTGCATTCAGTACAGAAATGACGATAAGCCTTGGTTGTGTTCCTTGTGTCGGACTGATAAGATCCCGACTGAAGCTCGATTTCTTGATGCCACGTCAGAAGGGTTGGAAAAAACCCTGAAGTTTAGAAGGGCCGAGGTATAGACGGACATTGCTCTAATTGCCAGTTTGGTAGGAAACCCCCTCCAAGACTTCACTAAGGAAGACCGGAGGAGGGCCAATGAAAGAGCTCGGGATTATCGTTGGAACAAGGGCCGGTTGGAAAAACGGAAGACGGATGGTAGCGGGATTTGGATGGTAGTGGCGCACCCGTTCATGAGGTATGACTGGGTTAAGACGGCGCATGAGGAAACGGCAACCCATTTTGTCGTACGGATCACAAAAGCGGCGATCAACACGAATGAGTGGTATTGGTTCAATATTCACGATGATGTGAAATTCATCGTCGCAAATTGTCAGGTCTGCGCTGCCGACAAGGCACCGATCCAGCCGCCAAGATCGATAGTACCGACGGTAGTTGAACGGCCTTTTCGGAGAGTTAGCATGGATACTACCGATATTGTGGTGCCCCTTGGACCGAATAGCTGCGAGTATTCAATCCTACTAGTATTCGTGGACCACTGTTCGCAATGGATCGAGGCGTATCCGTGTCGTACGCGACAAGCGGCTGAAATTGCGCGATATGTCAACCGGTTTCTAGGGATGCAGCAGGACACAGAGGAAATCCTGACCGACAATGGGGTATAATTCAGAGGGGAAGTTTTAAGGAATCTGGTCGTACACGGCGTCACCATTCGGAACACTGCACCCCACATGTCACAATCTAACGGCCTGGTAGAAAACGCAAATCGGGTAATAAAGACAKCACTGCGAYGAAACATCGCGGCRYGGGATACGAGGCYCCGACCCGATATCGTAGAYCACATCCTAGAGGTCYATCGGGGAACGCCTCACGAAYCGATGGGCCTTAGCCCCTTCCAATTCTGAACCAATAGTGGAGCTTGTTTCTCGATACCGAGCCTCCCCGATGAATCTTTGTTGAACCGGCGGCCCACAAGAGCCACGGTTCGGGACAAGACCAAACGACACATGGAGCTGATGGAATGGTCCCWTCCCCAATTAGCYCGAAAGCGCCAGAAAATGATTGAGTTGGCCYACGACCGACAGGTCGGTAGCAAYGAGGCCCGAAATGGGAACGCARGACCACGACCCCAGTATAAATTARGGGACYTGGTGCAGGTGAGGAAATGTGCTCGCCAAGGGAATATAGCGCCACGATTTTTCGGGCGATTTCGTGTGATCGAACTCGGCCCGAACGGAGTGAACACCGTGCACATCGTGYCGGAGGTCTCGGGAAGCCGATCGGCTCGACCGATYATACGCCAYGTGTCCTACCTACGTCCTCTCCCTTCTTCTCCTTCTCCGCCCGTGTCTGCTTCCTCCTTCGCTACGGAAGACGAAGACGACTCCTTATCACTCTCATCCCCTCCTGCTTCTCTTACTCCGTCCTCATCGCCATTGCCACGAGTTTTCTCACTGAGCGGGCTCTCGGCGATCACATGCTGGCGCCACGTGGCGACATCTCGACAATTCGGCAAGTTCATAATCCGCGATTCAGTCTGGACCTCCTACGACTCACGCAGTTCTTCAACAGTACCGGGGTATACGCAGCGGCAGAGTTCTGATTCACCGGCCATCATCAAGAGATCGTAGTGGCAGAGGCGACGGCGGTTCGATGACTATCAGCACCAGGAGTTTGCCACGTGTCCACCGTTGTCATCTTCAGAGGCGACATTAGTGCGATCAGCCCTCTGCGATACACAGCCATCCGGACGTCGCTAAGAGAGTGGGGTCAGCAGCTGGCAGCAGAGTGGAATCAGTGGCTTGCGCGCTGCGGCGATAGTCTAATCCCCGCGGATGGTATCGAAGTCGAGGGACTCCGGACGTGTCGACACGAGCCCGCGGTGGTGCTTCCTGAGCTCGTGCCCTTCCAGTGTCCTCAATGAACCGATCCCAACTCTCTACCTTCACTCTCCCCTCTCTCTTCTCTACCTTCTGGCAATCCGACCTTTGCCCCCGACTCTCTTTTCGTCTGGAACCACGTGTTGTCCACCTCCTCGACCGAAGACAGTGGGAACTGCGGTGTGAGCACTTCGTCGATCTTTCGGTGTGTTTGGTCGGAGTGCCGCTCACGTGGACAAGGGACGTAGAGCACCGCACTTGGGTCGCATACGTGGAGCTGTTGATCATCCAGGCGTGGAGGACGGAGGTGGAAGGAGACCTTCTCGGATTTCTATTCGGCTCGGTGCGTCCCAGCTATCGACAACAGATCGTACAGGAACTTACGATTCCCCTCGCGCAGCTGGTTGACGATCTGCCTCTCGATATTTTCTCGCTGAGCGATGAGAGCCCGGTTCCGCATGTCTCTTCACGAACTTTGACACCTTACCTGCAGTGGTCGGCTTGCCTCGAGGAGTTAGTGGGCAACAACAAACTGCCATCGCAACAACCATACCTGGATCCCCGGGGAATAATCGACCTCACTTTCTTTCAACCTCGAACGGCCTCCGAAGACGAAGCAATAACGCTAGAGGAGGAAGAGGAAGAGGACGAAGAGGGAGGCGACGAGGAAGAAGAAGATGAAACCCCGAAAAAGGGAAGTTACAGCGAGTACAGCGCGGGAGAGCAGAGTGACGATGAGGAAAAAGAAGACGAGGTGGAAGAAGAGGAATCTCAGTGGGAAACCCTGGGAGAAGAAACGGAAGGCGCGAAGGAGGATCCCGAGGCGGTGTGGAAGAGAGAAGAAATCGCCGCCGGCAAGCGGCAGCTGGAGTACGCAAGCGAGGCGGATCTGCCAATCTCGAACGATCCAGCTAAGGATCCGGAGCCGCCTAAGCCAGAAGATGGGGACCTTGCTGGCGAGACTTCGAGCGCACCGGCCAGACGACGGCGAAGCCGATCCCCCTAGCTGGATCCGGAGCCGCCTAAGCCAGAAGATGGGGACCTTGCTGCCGAGACTTCGAGCGCACTGGCCAGACGGCGACGAATTCGATCCCCCTCCCCCTCCAGCTCAGCCCGTCCACCAGTTCGAGCTCGTACCGATGCGGGGCATCGGGCTTCGTCCCTGATCCATATCTCGTCGTCCCCTTGACCACCTAACCCTCCGCCAGATCACTACCCGCATCACCTTCCACANGATGCGGGGCATCGGGCTTCGTCCCTGATCCATATCTCGTCGTCCCCTTGACCACCTAACCCTCCGCCAGATCACTACCCGCATCACCTTCCACAGCCATCCCTTCCCAATCGACATTTTCCGTTTCTTCTAAACCACCCGTCTTGCTGTCACGATTCACCCCCATCCTTCTACCCGGTGTGCCATCCCTGCCTTCTGCCTCCACGTCCTTCTCTTCAGTGCTGCGTGGTGAGGCCACAACATCATTGAGGTTTATTGCTTAATCACGGAGACTATCCCCGCGTGCGAAAACCACGATCACTTCCACACGGCGCTTCTCCGAACTTTCACCACCCTTTACCCCGACTATCTCGCCTCCCTCTCTCATAGTGGTAACCAGTTTCCTCGCTTCCACCGGATTGTCCGCTGAATTTAGGGTAGTGCATCAGCCCGCATCTTCAGGATAGGCCGCATTGAAGGTTAATTTCCTGTTAGTCAATGAGTCGTCATATCAACACTTCACATCATTCTCTTAACTGCTGTGTTACACTTTCTCCGTCCCCTACTTGTGACTTTGGAATTCCTTTTCACCTTAAAAAAATGTTTTTCAGAAAGTATCTTGCTGCTAAGTAGTAACTAGGTCGGTTTAGTCTCTTACTGGTTATATTTTAGGGATCTACTATTGTTGGGTGGAAAATTTTCCTCTCTTCTTGGAAAACACGTTACCCATCTTTCACTCACGCTGACTATGGTCTTGTAAGGCAACACCGCGTCTAGAGGCAGCGACACAACGGAGGCAGTGTGAGTGCAACCGTTAGTGGTGGGAACGCTATTAGCTGGTAGACAGCTTAAGAGTAGCTAAGAAGCAAACTTGGACTGTACCCACAACGATCTTTTTGTCAATTATTGCTTTATTAGGATCGAAGGGTGCGTGGTGGGAAACCCGTCTAGGCGGTTCAGGCTTCCCTGAGGCTGGCTAAAGTGGGTGTTTGCTATGGGATTCTAGGCTAGAGTGGACTTCTATTTCGACGTTGTGAAATTACAGCTCCCTGTTTCAGGCCGCAAACGAAGACTAGATTCAACCCCCCTACTAACTTGGTTGATACCCTTGTCTAGCCGCACAAATAGACTAGATTTATTTCTTCTTCTCAACGTGTCTCCTGTGTTCCTTTAATTGTTTCCTTGACTTGTGCTGCTTTGATTATCGACTCTCTGTGATCCTCCTTCTGGCCACGACCTTAGGCTAGTTTCACTTTTACTACCACAGTCATTTGCCAAGCTACGCATACAGGTTAGACCTACCTTCCTCCTTACACCTTGTTTTCCGTTTTCTTAGGGATTGAAGTTTCGGAAATGCATTCAGATTGAAGTTTCGAAAATGCATTCATTCTCATAAGGTAATACCATTAATATGGGTAGCGGCACTACGGAGTCAATGGGAGTGCTACTATCAGTGGTGGGAACGCTCGCCTGTAGTTAGGGTAAGTAGCGAGGGAAGCAAACTTGAACTATATCCATGCTGATCTCGGGACATTGAAAGTTGTGATTATTACCCATTGGGACCACAAACACACATCCCTGTTTGGAAGGGCCCTAGTAATCAACAACGTGGTTCTAGCCACGCTATGGTATAAATTTGTCCTATGACCGGTCAACGAAGTGGCCCATAGAGCCCTTAGGCGAAAAGTGGCAGCATACCTATGGAGAGGAGACAGTCAAAATACCAATGCCATGAGCAGAGTGGCATGGGACACAGTGGTCCAGCCCAAAGCCCAGGGAGGATTAGGTATTTTAGATCCCCCCCAACAGACACAGGCATTGAGTCTGCTGTGGTTGGTACGACCGATTTTCGAGTCATCCCAATAGTGGAAACCACTGACTATGAGGCAAATAGCGCATCTGGCCCCAAAATCTCCTCCAGAAATAGATCCCCTGAGATGGTTAGACGACAGATATTGGAAGGTCCCGAGGGGTCTACGGGAAGATCTGTGGCCAGGACTAATCAAAATCTAGATAACTCACCCCCCCAGACCGCCCACCCCCAGAACGTTGGGAAGAGGTGGCAAGACAGCCCCTTTTTGGGAACCGATGTATCACAAACTCACACAGCCAAATCTTTTGCAGTTCGGACTCTCCATGAAAGCGATGGGTCAAGAATGGGATCACCAAGGTAGGGGACCTATGGGACGACCTCAGAAAGGATTGGAAAACACTGGAGCAAATGAGAGGGATCCTCCGCTATTGCCACAATTCTGAAACTGCAGTACAGGAACTCCTGGAGGCCTTCCCTCTGGCCTGGCTCCCCGTCCTGCGCAAGGGCCCACAACTGCAAGAAGGGGACTGGGTATTCACCAAAGACTCTATCAAACGTGTAGGACTTGTTCACCGGGTGAGATCCGAGGATGCCCTGGTTGAGGGATACTGGATGGGAAAGGAGGGGCGGTTAACAGGCAGCAGTGATCCCTTCGTATGGACCTCTAAAACCCAACTCTACAGAGTGAGAGCCTATGGCGAGGGGAATGGGAAAAGAGTCTTCAGGCCTGAGATCCTGCTAAGTGAGCTCCCCTGGACCCGACAGAGTGGGTGTGGAACCTGCCAGCTCATCCCAGGGCACACGTTTTAAAGCCTATGCCCCTCTGCAATCTGACAGTTAAAACTTCCTACCGAAAGCTCTGAGTCAAAAAAAAGGTAAGAGATACGGTCCAGGAGCACTGGCAGCGGCACTTGAATATAGATAAACAGCTACTAGTGCCCATCAGATGGTTCAGGGACTGCAAATGCGGGCCGGCCAAAATCACATCCTTACAATGGCAAAGCGTACATCGTTGTTTCCCTACCAACAGCTGGCTGATCGACCACACCCACTTGGAACAGCAAGGGCGGGCTCTACCTTGGTGCCCCTGGTGCCTTCTAACCTTCCCAGTACGGAAAAGAGAAGAAACAATAGAGCACATTTTTCTCCAATGCCCAGTGGCAGTAGCGACATGGAGATGGTGGGAGAGAGTATGGCGGCAGCTTGTCCCAGGACACGCATGGCCATGGGAATGGAGGGCGATTCTGTTAGGTCATTGTCCAGTCTTCCAAAACCAGACCTTTGCATGGAACATGTTCCACCTAGGATGACGAGTAATCCTATGGGTCATATGGTGGCAACGATGTGCCCTGGCCATAAAGAAGGTGATGGTGGATGGGGAACAGAAAAAGGAATACCTCAAACAGCAGTTTCAATTGGAATTGTCTCGACTGTGGGCAGTAACAAAACAGACACTAGATTCTCTCCATCAAGCAAAAAATATCTCAATTGCAATTAGGAAGTTTGGCCAAGAATGGCTGGGTGGGGATCGGGAGGGATGGGTAGCAGAGGCAATCTGGTCCGAACCATGGAAAATCCAGAAGCAGCGGGGGGATGAACCTATAGAAGCAAAGCCCCACCGGGACTACCACCTGGTGTTTAAGGATTGGACTGCGATCAGCCCAGATGTCCCTCTGCGCCCGGCAGAAGAGTTTGCAGACCCATTCCCACCCCATCACCAAGCAATAGAAGAATGGGTGGGATAGGCAAGTCCTGGAGAGTGAATTGATCAAAGATGGGGGGTGTATCAGTCCTAGAATAAAGGCTTTGTCCTCACAAGTGATGAGCCCCTTTTGGGTAGACAGGAAACGGAAGGAGATTTGCATATGAGGTTTCTATTACTACTCAGAGTTTTTTCGCTTTCCGCAGTTCTTCTCAAGTTCTCAGTTCTTCTCTGTTCTTCTCAGTTCTACTCGGTTCTTCCCAACTTTTTTCTCAGTTTTTCTCAGGTTTGCCCAGTTTTCTCAGGTTCTCAGATGGCAAGAAAGGAAGAGTGGGAAGAGAGAGAACTTGGGTTGGTGGCTTTCTGACCAATTCAGACCATGTTCTCAGATCTTTTCAGATCTTTTTCAATCAAATTTCAGGCTCTTTTCAGACATGTCAGACATCTTAGACATTCTCAAACGATAGTGCAGTAGTGTGATCTGGAAGGCGGGCTGGGAACAGACAGGGACCACTGGTGCCCCCCAGTCGCCCTGCTGGGCCCCAGCCCAATATCTTGGCTTAGATAGAACAGAATAGTCAACAATAGACCTGGTTTCCAGCACGCTATCTCATGACTCCTGCTTGTTTTTCCAAAATGTAAGGGACGCTGGACCCCCGGTTTCCAGCAGGTGCTG